TTTTTAATTTATTACTCAGTTTTTGTGGTAAAAAGATCCATTCTCCATTCTAAGTCAGTATCTTCCCTCTGCATTAAATTTCCTGTAGGGAATAGTTGGAGGATAATATGACCAGAATTCAGTTAAGATTCGGATCCACGTGATCCACATGTGCATTTTGTAATTTCTCTTAAACTCAATTCTCTCTCAGCTTCAGCTGATAATTCCCTGGGACTATCTAAGTCCTTCTCACCATCTAAGGTTTTATTTAAATTAATTAGCTCATCAGTTTTTATCCCAATAGTGGGTCATAGCTGAGAAATGTCTCCTAGCAATCTTTGGAAGACATTAATAGTCTGCAATCGATCTCTCCTAATGTGTACCTTTTGGGGTCTATTTTTTTGTTAAACTTATTTTATAGCCTAAATAATTAATAGAATCTCCTCTTTGTATTTTTTCCAGGAGCAATTTGTAATCAACAAGAAAAATTTTTCTTTACTTCTTCAAATTTCTAAAATCTTTCTAAAGTATCTACATTTGAATCCAATAGCACAGTGTTATCAATGTAATGGCAAACTATAGATTCAGGAAATTGTGTATATATCATTTCCAGTGGCTGACTTACAAAATATTGGCATGTGATAAGACTATTTAACATTCCCCATGAGAGAATCTTCCTTTGATATCTTTTAGCAGACTGGTAAATATTATAAGTAGACACTGTAAAGGCAAATTTTTCTTTTTCTTGTAAAGGTATAGTGAAGAAACAATCTTTTAAATCAATAATTATAAGAGGTCATCCTTTAGACAATAGACAAGTCAAAGGAATGCCAGACTGTAGGAAGCCCATTAGCTGAATCACCTTGTTAACAGCTCTTAGATCTGTCACCATTCTCCATCTTCCAGATTTATTTTTAACAACAAATACAGGAGAATTCCAATGGCTGATTGATTCTTCAATATGTAGAACATCTAGTTGCCCCTGTACCCACTGTTCTAAAGCCTACAGTTTCTCTATTGTTAAAGGCCATTGCTTAACCCATATGGACTTGTCTGTCCACCATTTTAAAGGTGGGGTTGTTGGTGCCTTTGAAATATCAGCAGTTGTTTTGGCCTGTTCCTGTACAATCTGAATGGTCGGTGGCTGTCCTTTATAATATCTTGTAATATTTTTCCCAGAAATATATGTTAATTTATGGTTTGTTTCTAAGATTGAGAGAACGTTAATCTTAGTATTCCATTGCTGTAACAAATCATGTCTCCACAAATTCATTGCTATGTTAGCCACATATGGTTTTAATATTCCTCTCTGTCCTTCTGGCCCTATTCATTCAACCCATCTCATGCTCTCTTTTACCTAAAATAAAGTTCTGATTCCTAAAAACTGAACATTTACACCCTGAAGAGGCCAAATGGGATGGCCAGACTCTGGTGAAATTGTTACATCCACATTTGTGTCATTCAGAACTTCAATGATGATGTCAATTATTTGTATTTTTAATTTTGGTCTTTGTTCATTCATAGAAGTTTGCCAAAAATACTTGCTTTATGGTTTCTCCTGCAATTTTTGTTCTCTCTTCTTCAGTTATTCTACTACACAGAGCAGTAGATTCCTTACAAAAGGCACTAGGTTCTTTAATTGCTTTGGGAAGGAGTTTCTTCTATGATGGCACAAAATAACTGAACCAGATTCGGCATAGGGACCTGCAAGAGGCCCCTCATGGAGTTTTCTGATGGCAAAGGATTACCATGAATAGCTCTCACTGACCTGCATTCATTAGTCCAATGCCTACCTTCGCCATACCTTTCACATAATCCAGAAAGGCATGGCATCCTGAATGAATTATTCAAAAAAAAAAAAAACACATTGTTTCTAGGAATATCGTGTCTATAATCCTTTTTCAGATGATGTTGTTTGGCACAATTATAACATTTGACTTTTTGATATTTTCTCAAACCTCTGGAAATCACCTCTCCCATCCATGCATCATCATGGTCATGAGATTCAATATTAATTGTATCTCGGGTCCATTCCTCCAAAGGTGCTGATCTTGTCTTTAGCAGCCTAATAATCCTTCTGCATAGAGAACTGGCATTTTCAAAAGCCAAATATTCAATTATTATTTGTCTAGCTTCTGAATTTGGTATCATTCTATTTACTGCTGAAGTCGGTAAGAAATACATAAAGGCTTTTCTTGGACTCTGAATAACTTTAGTAAATGATTCAGTTTTCTTTCCTATTTCTCCAATTCTGTCCCAAGCATTCAAAGCTGCTGTGCAGCATAAATCCAGGGTGTGGACATATACAGCTTGCCTTTCTGTAGTAGCATATTCTCCTTCTGCAAGGATTTGATCTTGGGAGATTACCCTACCTCTAATTTTACTCCATTGTTTAATAATCTTAGCTTCTTCTCTGAACCAGGGAGGTACACCATTGTAACTGTTGAAATTGGCTCTCCATTAAATTCTCCTGTCTGGACTTGAATATCTCTGTGATCTGTTTTATTATATTCTTCTAAGGTCTGTATTTTAGCACTCAGATTAACCAACTTTTTTAGTGATAAGACAAAAATGATAAAGCTAATACTGTTTACAATTGATATTACATAAATCCCATCTAAATTAGATATCCTCTAATTTAGTCATTCCATTTTCAAACTGTCTTGCATATCATCATACAAAGACTCAAAACCCTCCATTATAATGGTTTTTTTCCCATTGTTTTAATGTGGGAAAAAAAAACTCTCTTTTAACTAATTCCTCCCTTTAAGAATTCCCAATTGTCTTGCCAAATCTACTGACGATATTGATGAAGATGTGAGGCAGATTGCTGCTGTGTAGAACAGTAAAAGCCTGACTGGATTTCAAGGCAGCTATCTAGTTTGGCAGCAGCCCAAGAAGGGGGTTCAGCGAGAGCCCACAACTGACAGGAAAGAAGGGGGTGGAGGGGAGGGAGAGAGAGATAGAGAGAGGGGACTGTTTGAAAAATACACGGGGGCTTGTTTGGAAAAAGCACATGTATTAAGGGGCTGCCTGAATGCTACAACAGAAAAAGTCCCAAGTTTCTCAGAGGCTTGGGGAAAAAAGAAAAGAAAACCTAGCCACACGGGCTGGAGCTCCACATAGCCTGTGTCTGTGGCTTTTTTGTGAGTTTTGTACCCCAAATGTTGGGTGCCAAATGTAGCACAAATGATAAAAACCCAGAGACAGATATTAGGGTTCAAGCTGAAGATCAGAAAAGCAAAACAGCCACACAACTAGAGAAGTCTTATCTCTACCAAGTCTGGGTGACTGCAGACTGAGCCCTGTATCCTCCTGTTTTATATTCCCCTTTATTGCTGGGATTAAAGGCATGGACTCCCTAGTACTGGGATTAAAGGTATAAACCACCACCACCTGGATCTGTTTCTGCGTTGACCTTGTGTATTCCAGGGTGGCCTTGAACTCACAGAGATCCCTCTGCCTCTGTCTCCCAAATCCTGGGATTAAAGGTGTGTGATACCCTCTGATCTTCAGGCAAGCTTTATTTATTAAGATATCACTATACAGAGGAGTTCTGCTATGCTAGAGCTAGAAGGTGTGCGGAGTCAGGTGCTTGCTGTAGGAGAGAGTGTACTCTAAGGAGTGGCTGTCAAGTGGAACTGAGTCTCATCTCTAGCTCACACTGCAGAGCAAATGGTGTGTTCATTTTCAAATGAATAAGTCTTCCTACGTTAGGTTGGTGATGATTGGATGGTTAAGGCATAAGACTTTGAGTCCAAAGGGGCTCCCCATGCAGGTTCAAGTTCAGGTTCAAATTCTGCTTACAGATACATTTTCCTGTTTGATTTCTGCAAAATATTCAATGGTCTGGTGGTGGGATGAGCACCCTACCCTGACAAACCCTTTACATCCTGAAATCATCCAGGGAGCACCCAGAAGTTGAATTCTATTTTATATTTAAGTGTTCTTAGTTATTTCTTTGCATTATAATGCCACTTTATAATGCATTTATCCATGGTGATTAATTAGACTGTTGGCATGTTTGGACACAAGGGAAAGATTAGCCAAACTAAGGAAACAACTCAAAACTGGGCACAGAAAAGAGTATAAGACCAAATCTGAAGAAATTAATCTCCTTATAGCATAACTAATATCTCAGAGATAAAAATGGGTCTTTATGAAAAGAGGAAGGGACTGCCCCCAGGGTGGAAGAGGTCTAAAAAGAAGGAAACACAAAATATGGCATATCTTATTTCATATGCAGAATCTATATGTAAATGTCCACATATGTGTGCATGTTAGTGCACCAAAGCAGGAAGCCTCTCTGTGAGGAAGGACATCATTGAAGGAGAAAGAATAACCATGGGCAAGGTACAATGATATGTGTTTTTAAAAAGTCATTATTTCATAAGTTAACAAATTAATTTTAAAAATTATAATTGGTCCTTGCTTCCAATAGAGAATTTTGTGTGGAAATATGTAGGCAAATAAATGATGATCTCCTAATTGCATGTTGGGCTCCCACCCTGTAACCCTGATATGGCTCTGATTGTGTTAGTGTCTAGATATATAATCAGTCATTTTTTCTAGTTGCTAAGTACAGCAAAGTCCTGGACTGACACGTAAAGGAACTTGGGGTGCAGGTCAGTTGCGCGATGAATAGGATTTCTGACTCCGAATCGGGAGATTCCTGGCTGGGCTTCTAGCTGCTTCTGTTAGCTTGTTTGTTTCTTTTCTGCGTGCTTTCGTTCAAATTCATGTAGAAACAATTCGTAGTATTCAAGCGCCTAAACATCCATTATCTGTCAAGTTGTTTTCTGTGTCTGGAAGCTACTTCCGAAGCAGTTAAGCAAACTTATTCTGAGAACTTTTCTTTCTGATTTCTAGCTCTTCCTAATTCAAGGAGTCAGAAGAAATGCTTTACAACCAAAGAAAGGCGTGAAAGCAGAAAAGGACAAAGACGGGGCGGGGCGGGTTCGGGGAATAAGATAGTAACAAAAGGTGTAGAATCTGAAAAGAATTTGGAGGGAGGAAGAGAATCGGCAAGGGAGGGAACCCGTGAGAGCAAGTGGGAGAATTATATCAAAGTATAATGATATCTGTATGAAAATGTCACAAGAAAACTTACTTCATTGCATACTAACTTAAAAACAATACAAATTACGTTAAATAAACACCCTAAAGGAGCGGCCGGGTAGCGGGTCAGAAATGCCAGCGTTCGGGAGGAAGAGGCAGAGCGATCGCTCGTTTCAAGGCGTGATCTCAACAACCAAGTAAGCTAAATAGAAATCTCTTTCCTATCTGGCTTCACCAATACTTTTTCCTACCAGAAAGAGCGCTCACTTATGGAGTCGGTCACTCCTTCCCCGCACAACTCTAGAAATGGCCCCTGCGAAAACTAAGGGGACATCTCCCTGGGGATTCCTGATACAAGCCCGGCTGTGAGGTCGCGGGACACTGGCGGTTTGGCCTCAGTGGAGCCGGCTAAACTCGGTTTGGCCACCGACCTGGTCGACCGAGCAGTTCCGCATCCTTGACCCTCAGCTCCGCTATGTTTACGTAGAGATGGGCACAGGCTAAACACAAGAGCTACCCAGGGAGGGAGAGGGGGAGGCAAGGCGAAGAAGCGTGAAAAGCAAGCCTCAGAATGCGCACCTAAATCGAGACTTTTTTCTGCTTCAGGCGGAATGGAGAAAGACGCTGGAGGCTGAGGTTATGGTCAAATGGGAGGGATTTTCTGAAGTTATACCAAGAGCATTTTAGTTTGTGAATGGACTTCCTATCTTCCCTCTCACACAGAGCTTGGAGATTACTCATGTCCCAGAGATTATGCGAAGGAATCTAAGAGCTGCCTCCTGGTGACAGGGCCTGTGGCTCCGTGTTCCGGTCACTGCTCATGTGCAGACTAGACATATAGATCTCTTAGTGGGCCCTGCGCTAAGAACCAATATAAAAGCGGCCATTCGCCCCTCACAATGCAGTCGAGAGCAGATATTAATTAAGTCTTGGAGTGTCTGGTCAGATGAGGCTGTGCAAGCGACACCTAACACCAGAGAAAGAGCCGGGCACAGGGGAGTTCTAGGCTGCTGCTGCAAGGAACCCTTGATTCTGCACCTCGGCTGGGTCTTTGTACAGCAAACACATCGCTGAGTGTAAGGTTCAGCCGCCCCTGCTGTCCAGAGGACCCTACAGGACCCTGAAAACCACATCAACCCAACCCGCTGTCTAGAGCTACCAAGATCCTTTCCGAAAGCTGTCTGGAAGCCTCACCTGGGCAGGTGAGTTACCCCAGCAAAAATGAAAAAGGTAAATCCGGCTGAGAGGCTGAATCAGGAGGATCAAAGACAGACTTTGCTTTGGATACCCAGCCAGTTCAAGACCAGTCCTAGCTAAGTGAGACCCTGTCTTAAAAATTAAAAGTAAAGTTTAAAATACATGCGAGAAAGAATTTTGTACCTTCTCCTAATTCCCTCTAAGATTAACACCAGGATTTCGTACGTAGCTCAATCAGGTAGGCTTCAAGCTACCTGTTGATCTCCTTCGACAAATTTTGGATTATGAGCTGCGGGAATCCTGAAACTCAGATGCGAGAAGATTCAAAAGTTCCTCACACTGGCCCGTACGGGGATCGAACCCGCGACCTTGGCGTTATTAGCACCACGCTCTAACCAACTGAGCTAACCGGCCATATAGGCGTCTGGGAGGAAAATTACATGAGAAGGTTTTGTGTCTGTGCGACTTTTTTTTTTTTTTTTTTAATCTTTTTCAAAGAAACTTTTAAAGTTATATGCGTATATTTAAGCAAGAGAATCTGGGATACCTCAGCATCAAATTCGAACCAAAAGTTTTAACAGTTGATGCTCTGTTCCTGAAAAGGTGCTCAGGACCCGATGTTTCACTTTCGAAGCTACCAGTCACTGGACCGCAAATTGAAAACTTCTCAATCATTTGTTACTAAGTTGGCTCAAAGCAAATACTCAGTGCCCCGTGGGGTTGAGGAATGGATTCTCTAAAGAATCACACCCTTTAGCGTCTAGGTTTGGAACTAGGGTGGACCCACAGAACATAGAAAACCTGGTGTGAGCATCGGAGGTGGGTGGTCCTTGACTTGGGCAGGGAACCCTGATTGCTCTTTGGGCTGACGAGGGAGGGGGACTTTATGGGGAGGAGGGGAAGGGAAATGGGAGGCGGCGGTGGGGAAGAGACAGAAATCTTTAATAAATAAATAAATTAAATAAATAAATAAATAAAACCGGGTGTGGCTTTCCATCTCGGTACGAGGAGACCCAGGGAACCATGGTGGTGCTAGAGACGGAACTCAGAACCTAGTATATGGGGCCACTACACTCCCTTCCCTGAATCTTATATATGCATTTAATAGTACCTACTTTCACACGAATAGGGCACTGGATTTTTTTTCCTTCTTATTTTCCTTCGGTGAATTACTGGAAACTGGGGAAGAATTTAGCTTCGTGGACGCAAGAAGATTTTCAAAGCCTTTATCCATTATAGCAGTAAAATTACAAAACCGTTATCATATAATGGGGTCGGTCGTTTCAGCCTTACCAAAGTAACAATGTCAAACACAACTCGTTTGTGAAAAACAAGTATTTGCCGAAACCCGGGATTGAACCAGGGACCTTTAGATCTTCAGTCTAACGCTCTCCCAACTGAGCTATTTCGGCCTGCATTATAAACCCTGACCAGTCATATCATGGTTTCAGAGGGTCCCCGGAAAGAACATTACCGGAAAGAAAGAAAGAAAGAAAGAAAGAAAGAAAGAAAGAAAGAAAGAAAGAGAGAGAGAGAGAGAGAGAGAGAGAGAGAGAGAGAGAGAGAGAGAGAGAGAGAAAGAAAGAAAGACAGAGAGTGATCGAGAAAGGAAAGAGTCCAGTCAAAGCTGGAGTCAGGAAGATTGCAAAGTCTGAAGATCTAAGCCAGCGAGTTTAGCAGGTAACAAGGCAGTAACCAAGTCAAGAAAACGAGTAAAGGGCACCAGACAACAGAATTGCAGGTGTGAAGGTCTGGATACCAAGCCCAAACTCAATGAGAGAACAAAGGCCAGAAGGTAAAGTCTCAGGAGCTAGCTGATGGCCAGGTGGCACTTCTACTCGGGAAAGAAATGCACGCCCCGTCTGCAGAAAACATCATCAGTCTTTTATACAAATGTTGTTGCACAAGTAAGAAGCAAGCAAGCGGATTACAGGGGCCAACGAAAAGCAGTTAGCTTGCCCTAAACCACAAAATTGTTTAAAGTTTTCAATAACAGACAAGGTTCCAGGTGTGACCTAGTTTAGGCAACTTGCCTGAACAGATGTTATCACCTTGCTGTTACTGAGCCTTCCTTACAGCACACTGAATCTGTGCGGTTTACCGATTTAAGTTTTTCTTTTGGAGATGTTTTTCTCCTAGGTCACATCACGGGGAGCTCAAGATACTTCAGTTTCCCTTTTAGCAAGGTACATTCTGGGATGGCAAACAAAGCTTTGCATCTCAGTGTCTGGAGCATCTGACCACAGACATGCGGTGGGTAAGATGACCAAGTGCCAGTTCCTGGTCTTCAGCCCCGCCAAAAGTCCCTACAGTTCTTAACCAGTTTTGCCTGGCTTGATTCTGACTAGGCGAGGGGAAAAATGTCCGCATCCCATCACCTCTGGGCAGTCTCCAGTCTAGCCCCCAACATTTCTGGATCAAACTTTTGTTTCCCCGTCTGTGTCTCTCCAGTCTAACCAGTTCTCTCTCCCTGTCCCCCTGTCTGTCTCCTCTCTTTGAAGCAGAATTTTCCTGTTGTCTGTAGTTCCTTTTACGCACGTTCCATTACAAAAATCGTGTTTGCTGAAAACATATCTTCTGCTCACTTAAAGAATAATTATGGAAAGAAGCTCGAAAAGGGGGACCAGCGGGAAACAGGTAACAGGAAGGGGGAAAAGTGAAAGACGGTGGGGGGGGGGGTTTAGTTGGGAAGGGCGTCGGTGCTCAGTTCAGAAGGAGATGGGAAAGAAGGAAAAAATAATACTAAGATTGTTGAAAAAAAAAAAAACACTGGGATCATATCATTTTATGTTTACCTAAAATTAAATTCAGTGCATGTGCGAGCGTGCGTGCGTGCGCGCGTGTATGTGTGTGTGCGTGTGTGTGTGTGTGTGTGTGTGTGTGTGTGTTTAAATGAAGTTACAACAGACTAGTAATAAGGATTCTGCCAAGAGCCATAAATTATCGGTCAGGGAAATCCAAGAAGACTCCCCAAACGGGCGAAGCCTGGTTGCCTTCCAGGGGTTGAAGATTAGTGCCTGTTGCCAAAGCCATCCCACAGTTTAGGACTCAGGATTCTACCCTCTGACCTGAAAGCCCCCCCTTGACGACTAGCTTCACACAGCTGGGAGGTGCTACGTAAGCTGCCAAGGGAGGAGATGGATCGATAGTCCTTCCCAGCGGTGGGACCTATATTTTGGCTGTAACCAACGGTCGGGCTTAAGACCCCACGCAACTCCTGGAAACTTTTGCCTAGTACTGTCAAACTTTTGGCTAGTGGGGTCATTGATCTAGAGCACAACCCACCCCTGGCACTTTCCTAAACCAGTGTGATTCCCAAGTGCGTTCTAAATGCTTACACCCACAGGTAAGTGTAACTCAGCCCCCCTCATCAAAGACAGACAGAAACCGTTACGGCAGCCACAAACAGTCAAAATGCAAAGAACTGGCTACGACGTGCCGAACCCCGAGAAATGCATTTATACCACATAACCCCTTCGCCAAAGATACAGGAACGTTGTGGAGAGGGAGCGGAAATATGACGAGAGCCAGAGGACCCGGGAGTTTGCTGAAATCTAGATTTGACAGGGAAACTACATCCATGGATTCTCAACAATTTGACTGCCTGGACAAGACCTGAACAATGACAACACCAGTTGACATGCTGACATGGATGGGGGCTCTCCTCGATGAAAGACTGTAAGGAATTAAAGACGGGTGAGAGAAATAGACTTCGTCTTCCCCACGGATGAACCCCTAATTGGTTATCTAATACCAAGTTGTCAGTCCTAAAAACATAAAACATATTAGCAACACACTAAATGAATTCCATAGGCTGTATTTATATGTTTATTCGTGTGAGTGTGCATGTGCAAAACAATAATAATTAAAGAGAAAGAGGTCATGAATTCGAAAGGGAGCTGGGACAAAAGAGGATTTAGAAAGAAGAGGGGAAGGGGAAACTGATGTAATTATATCTTAATTTTTAAAATACAGTTTAACATCAGGTATTGGTGGCGCATACCTTTAATTGCAGCACTTGGGAGGCAAAGCCAGGCGAATCTCAGAGTTTGAGGACAGTCTACAAAGCATGTTCTAGGACAGCGATGAGTGTTACACAGAGAAATCCTGTCTTCAAAAACCAACCAAATAAGTAATAAATAAATAAAAACTGTTAAAAAAAAAGATAGAAAAAAATACTTGAAAAGTTAGAAAAAGGAGTAACCTATCCGCTTTCGAAAGTATGATAGAAGGGAGGGAGGGAGACAGTGGTAAGATCTAATCATGGTTCCCAAGGAAGAGATTCAAAGCTTCCTGATGCTCAGAGGAGAATCTTCCTAGATTTTAGGACATCATCTAAGATCATCTAATTGGGCACCCAAAGACCTCTTTCCCATTTAATTTTCTTGTTCTACTGAGAATAAGTACGGAGCAAACCAGGTGGTGGTGAACGCCTTTAATGCCAACACTTGGCAGACAGAGGCAGGCAGATCGCCAGAGCCACAGAGAGAAACCCTGTCCAAAAAAAAAAAAAAAATTACAGAGTAAAAGCCCTGAATGAATGTGCCATTTAATGAATTTTACAAGTTTATAACCCCATATTGTTGTGAAATGTTAATTTAAGATGTGTGATTCATTTGGGAGCTGGGTGGCAGGTCGATCCCTCAAAAGAGGCAAAGAACATAGAGTAAAACACTACCAACAACGTTGTAGGACTGTCAGTGACTTCAAACTCTCTCTCAGTTCATACTTCCACAAGGTGGCCACAGTCAGGAACCTTTCCACCATCTGTAGTGGCTGTTTTAATTTAATAACCATATATATATATATATGGTTATTAT